TAAATCTATGAGGTCAGTTTATATTTTTTCCTCTTTGGTCCTTGGATGGCATTCCTGTAAATAAAATAAATATGTTCTACACAAAATTCAAATCAACTCCTAAATATGTGGAATGAATATGAAAATGTGATAACATTCTGTAATAATTAAGATTACTAGGATACAAATTTCTATTTTTTTTCAAAGAGAAAAAAATTCAAATTTAATTTCCAATTTTTCCATATTGGAATGGCGAAAATATCCTTATTGATTAATGATAGTATATTAGACCATACGCTTATGATCATATTTTGAACGGAAAACGTGTGTTCATACTATATGTGACTACATCATATAAATATAAACAAATAACATATGTTTATATTTACTTGTAGTTATTGACCATTTACTTATCAATAAATAAGTTTGCAAACAATATTTTGTTGTTGTTAAGATCTTTTGAATTCTTATAAATCTTGATTTACTTATGTTAAATATGGAACAAAATGGATGGTAAAAAATTCAATTCTTTATCTTGCATTTTAAAATTTAAATTATCCAAACTTTTCCTCTATTTCATTTGCTTGTTTTGAGTCAGGTGGTTTCACAAATACTTTTTGTCCTTGTGTATAGCTGTGGAGAACTTCCTCGTTAGTTTTGGAAGAAATTGTGTGGGTTTCCACTCATAGGAGAATACAGCTTTGTAAGGGAATGACGTTTCCTGGCCATTTGTTCTGGGAGACACATTATACCAATATACCATCTTTTACGGATCTTTGCCACTTCGGGCTGCCATATCCTTGATGGTGCAATGATGGCATTTAACAGTTCCATTTCCATATGGCCTGTAAGCGCAATGAAATTATTCTAGGTGTCACATTCAAACCAAAACCCAATCTTGCTAGACAGTAACACTGCCACGCATATTTCACAACTTGATATTTCCATAATGCTTTGTCAATACAAATCTGCAGGTAGGCTTTCTTTAAATCAATTATCTCAAGATTTTCTCCCAACTTTCTCCAGCTGCGAAGTTTGGTACTACAAATTTTACCATCTGCAGTATGAATGGATACAAATTGATTCAGCTCACAGTAATCCATCAATAATTGTACTTTAAATTTGTTTCATTGAATTACTGTCATCAAAGGAATAATGCCATTACATCTCCCTTCAAATGGTTTCAGCTATCCCTGTGTTATTCATTTTCTTATTTCCATTGCGTACTCATTTTTAATTTTTTTAAAGATATGATAATTTGGAATTCTGTTTGTTAAAGTTGGTGCTTTCAACGGCCATTTACAAGACACGCTACAACTGCTAATTTTGAATTCTGCTATGAAGACTTTATCAATCAGTTTTTGAATAGTAGGCAAAAATACTTCATTTTTTTTTTTTTTTTTTGAGAGACTACTGTAGCGCCAATAATTAGTTGTTCTACATTGAACTTTATGGTTTCATCGTCTCTCCTGACTTGGACGCCTCCAATCAGTTTTATTACCTCCATACCAAGTAGCATTTGATATTCGAGAACAATGTCGGCGACCAGGCATTCCAAATTGACAGTGGTATCATTAATAAAAATGTCAACAACAATCTGGTGTTTTACTTATTTGACTTCCCATTCATCATGATAACCTTTTCTCTTGCTGGTTTGACATTTTTTTATGTTGACAATATTATGACTTTAATTTAAATTATTTTGAAGCATTTAGTGTCTAACAATGCTTTTATTTTTCTTCCATTGACACATACGCAGAGAGTTGATGGTTTTAAATTTTGTGGGAAGCCGCTTGCACAAAAATGGGTGGCCTCCCTTACATGAGTTTTTTTTTGAGTTTGTACACTTTTATAGTAGTGCTGGGCCAGGTGTCTTCTTTTCAATTTCTTTGCTGCAGTTTTTGACTGATATGTCCATCCTTGCATGGTTGATATTGAGCATGCAGTTTGCAGTTGTTTTCTTGCTTCAAAAGAATAAATGTGCACCTTATCCACTCTTTGCTTACGTGAGTTGATATTAGCTTGCTCAGTCTTGTTAATTCTGCTAAATGTACATTGACAGACTTGTTCTTGCCCCTCCAGAAAAAAATAAGGGGAGCATCACATGCAACTCGCCAATTTTTTAAAGTTTTGCTACCAGTTCCCATTTTTGTATGCATTCTGAAAATTCACCCAAACCATTGTACTGCGACACCAAATCTGCAAACTTTACCACAATCCTCATTGTTGAAATAGCATGTAATGTTATGTCTATATTTTATTTTTTTCTCAATTATTTTTAGGTCTCTGTTTGGTCCAACTGAAAGTCCATCAACTGTGCTATTTAAGTGATTTCAGAAACATTAGCCATCAATAAACAAAGATGCATATTGTACAAATTATAAACTGTTTCAGGGGAGATTATTGAATAATATGCAACAATAAATGCTTGTCTATTTACCAGGTGCTAATATTGGGTGTTCTTGAAAAACAGCACCCAAGGGGCGGTTATTTGGAATTTTACCTATTTTATTTGAGATAACCCAAAAAACTATCAAATGGTTTGACCTCTGAATATTATTTATTATTATTAAAACTTTGCACAACTGTTTTAATCATAGCAAAGATCAAAAATTTGAAAATTAAAATCTGTTACTTTGTTTTTTTGGAACATCCTAATAAACACTTTTCTTTGAATTTTAAAAATTTTTTAAAATTCAAAGAAAAACTTTGTTCTTTAATGTTATTTGTGCAAATTAAAATCATTGAGTTTTTGTTAGTTTAAAACTAAGAAAAAAAACAAAAAAAAATTTCTAGTTGCTTGGTATTTCTTGAAATTACTGATGTTCTTTAAAGCTATATCCATGTTCCTTTTTATAATTATAAAAAAAGTATTTGTAATTGTAGCAATTGTTATTCAATATACTGAAATTTTCTGTTGAATAGAAAGAATAAAATAAAATAAAATCAAACAAGAAATAAAATTCAAGTTTTGGTATTCAGTTATAGTTTAGAGTAGAGATGCCACGAATATTCTGCAACATTTAATTATATTGAGGGTTCCGACCTGCGTTGTTGTAGTGCATCCATTGCACTACAACAACGCAAAGTCAACTACTCTGTGGGCATTTATAAATAGTTTGTGTCACAGCATCCATTATTTGTTGATTGTTACGCCAAATATTTTAACTACATTTATGCATAAAAGTTTCATATTTTTCAAACCATTCAGAATAGTTCAAAAATAACCAGCTCAATTATATCTTGCACTTCTAAGGTAATTTCAAAAAATGCTATAGATTGAGTTAGCATAAAAAATTCTAAGCTTATTTAAAATGTTATTTTCACGACAACCTGAGCTTAAAGCATGGTTTAAGTTTAATGGGAAAGGCGATTAAACAATTGCCTTTTTTATTAAATCGCCAAATATTTGTGACATCACTAGTTTAGAAATTGTTATTCATCTTTACTTTATATGAAAAAGCCTTTTAAAAAGTATTCCATAATTTTAGTCTAGAATTTGCTATGCTGTATTCTGAAAACCTTCTTTTTTTCCCTTGACAATTTAAAAGATTCTTTGGAATAACTAACTGTACTAATAAATATCAATTGCGAATCTTGTTGGATATGCTTTTTTACCCTTATCTTTAGGTGAAGTCAGTATAAAAGATTATTGTATTTGCCAGATAATTATTAATATTAAACATTGGTGTATAAGAAAAGAATTAACAAAATCTGAAATAGTTAAATATATTTTCTGACTTATTTACAGGCACTATGCCCCTTGTTTTATGAGAATAAATATATTTATTAAAAAATAAGGAATTTTTTATAAATAACTTATCACAACATATGTAAGGATTTTGTTTAAAACTAATTTTTTCCAAATCTTTTTTTTTTTAGTTAAAAATATTCATGTGGATTATGATTATATAATTATAGATAATTATTATAATTATCTATAATTATATAATAGATTATAATTAGTTTATAAGCAGTATAAGTATAATTTTTAGAGTCCAAAAACATTAATATTAAGAGCACCCTAACTCTCCAAAACAATAGTTTGCTCAAGCTCTTTTCCTAAACACTCTGTTGGTTATGGTTACCTTCTAGTATATTCTACTTTCTCATTATTTTTCCAAGAAGCTTTCTTGATGATACCTTACAATAAATATTACATTTGTTATTTTTTTTCCTTGCTTTAAACCAAACTTTATGTTATTGATAAATATACTGCTTCCTATTTTATCGGCAATAGTTCTTTCTAAAATCTTCATTACCTTGTCAAGCAATTTTTATTTCATTGCATGAACCACATTCTTTACCAGCCAAATTTTCTTCCATTCATTTTAGATTTTACCTCGCTTAACAAAATAAGCCATCTAGATTGTTTTTACCTCATTCTTATTCAAAAAAATTTTTATCTAGCCCTTTAATACTGCCTTCACATCCTCCAACAACATCCAACTACTTGCATTATTACACAGAACAATGTTTTTCCTTTAAATCTAGCATCTCATCCCTTTTCTTCTGCTTATGAGATGGGGAAAATTAAACAAAGTTGAGAAAACACAATTTATAGTTAAATGATCACAATTAAACAAAAGTTTAAACTGATAGTTTACACTATTGAAAACAGTTGAACAAATGCGATTGAAACAAAGTCAAACAAAAGAAGTTGAAAGTTATAAACAAAGAATTAAATTTTTTATAATTTTTAGTTTAGAAAAAACTGAGTTCACAAGCTGTGTTAACGCAAGCTAGTTGTGTAAAAGATAAAAGTTGAGACAATGTTATCTGCAAAATATTTTTAGATAACTACTTAAGTTATTTAAATTTATTTCTGCATTTATACAAGTTTATTTTGGTTAACCTGTAAGAACAAAACAAGTTAAAAGTTACCTTAAAAGGGGTATTTGGTGTTTATTGTTTTTGTTAATTGTTTTGATTTATTTTATAAAACAAACCATAAAAAATATTTTAAAAATTTGATAAAAAATCTTAAACCTCCTAAAGATTTTTTGTTTTTTAAATTTCAGCATAAAAAGTTTGGCGATGCTGGCACAACTATACTTATTGAAGAAAAAATTGTTGGCGAGGAAATATCGGTATTTGTTTTGATTTTAAAATTAAAACATATAATTGTTTTTGACTAGTATTTAACCTTAATTAATTATTTTAATTAACCTTGATAATGACAATGATGATGATTATGATGATGATGATGATGATGATGATGATGATGATGATGATGATGATGTTATTGTTGTTGTTGTTTTTGTTGTTGTTGTTGTTGTTGTTGTTGTTGTTGTTGTTGTTGTTGATGATGATGATGATGATGATGATGATGATGATGATGATGATGATGATGATGTGATGATGATGATGATGATGATGATGATGATAATGATGATGATGATAATGATGATGATGATGATGATGATGATGATGATGATGATGATGATGATGATGATGATGATGATGATGATGATGATGATGATGATGATGATGATGATGATGATGATGATGATGATGATGATGATGATGATGATGATGACAAAGATGATGATGTTAGTATTATTAATAATAAATGTATGGTTGATATAGTATCAAGAAGTTTTTATAGTATCAATTAGGATTTTTTCAAAATTCTCAAAAAATTTTCAAAAGTAATTGATAGTATAATTTTTATAAATGTTCCAAAAAATGTTTCTTACAAAGATTTTTATTAAAATTTAATAAGTTTAAAATCATTAAAGAAAAATTATTAATTATATCTTAGCTTTGATCATTGATATTTATTTTTCTTAAAGTTTTAATTTTTTATCTCTTTTTTTAAAAAGGTTTTTGCATTCAGTGATGGAACTAATATTGCTTCATTTCCACCTGCTCAAGATTTCAAGCGTATTTATAATGGAGATTTAGGCCCTAATACAGGTGGAATGGGTGCATACTGTTCTGTGCCACATGTATGTGAGCAAATTTTTACTTTTTTATCCATACTTATTTTATATATGCTAATTATACTAAATATGGTAATTATACTAAATAAAATATAAATTAGATTTCTAAAGAAATTCTTGAGTTTGTGCACAATGAAATATTGCAAAAAACTGTTCAAAAATTAAATGAAGAAGGAACTCCCTTTGTTGGTCTTTTGTATGCCGGTATCATGTTAACTAAGGATGGTCCAAAAGTACTTGAGTTTAACTGCAGATTTGGTGATCCAGGTATTTAATAGTTAAGTTAAGTATTAAAAATTTTTTCTCTCATCAAATAAACAAAGTTTTTTTACATCATATTTAAAAAATATATTTTTTATCTTGATGTGATAATATTTTTACATGTTAACCAATAATATTGCTGCAATAAACTGATAAAAAAAATTAATTATTTATGCAATATTATTGATAGATAATTGATTTTGTTGTTTGTGTGTAGCTGTCAATCTTACCCTCTATATGGGGTAACATCAAGCCTTACCAGGAAAGGCGTGCGGTTTTTCATCTCGTACGATCACGAAAACGTTTTTTAAGTTAGAGAACGTGATCACAGTTGTTTGCGCAAGTTATATTATATGCGTTACTGAAAAATTGTTTTAAATTTAGTAACTACATAAAAAATTAAAGTAAACTTAAATAGAAAACAATAATAATAGTTTAAATAATTTGTGTGTTGTTTTTATTTTTGTTTTTTCTTAGTGGTTATTATTATCAGCAACAAAATTCATTAAGTCAAAGCAAAAAAAAAAAAAAAAACGGTGGGTTAGGTTAGGCGTTAAAAAGAATAGGCGTTAAAAAGGATGACTTTCCCATATTTTATGTGTGTTTTTTTTAAAATAGGAAAGAAAAAATATGTATCATCTGTTTGTAAAATATATTTGTATAATTGTAATGTAACAAGTTTATATCAAGAGTTATATATTATATGATTGCGATTTGCAAACTCTGGTAAAATATTAGGTCTTTAAAATTTTAATTCATGCAAAGCTGTGTACTTTGTTTATAAGGAGAAAATTTTTAAAAATTTGCTAGTGAGAAATTTACAAAAAACAAAACAAAAACTTACGACTACAAAACTTACTAATAAACTTACGATTACAAAAGTAATAACACTTTAGTCATTAACTGCATTATCAAAGTAAAAAATCTATAATAGTGTTATTACATTTATAAAGCACTTATTACTTTTAAAGTTCATTCTTTGTTCAAACAACATTATTAATTCAAAACATTTATCAAAGTAGAAAAGCATCTAGAAAAAATAAAGCGGATATTCAAATATTATTAAAAATTTCAGGAACTTTCACATATCACTTAAACAACGTTATAAAAAAATACTTTATAAAAAGTGTATAGCATTATGAAAAACGCAATGTAAAAACGCGCGTTAATTTTAAAATCAACCAATAATAAATTTTTATTGGTTAATTTTAAAATTAAGCCGCGTTTTTACGGTCCATTAGTAACGTTTTTCATAATGCTAAACTTTTAATACGATATGTTTTCATAAAGTTGTTTGTCACGTTTTTATAAGTTATTTTAGTTTTAATATTATTTGAACATCCACTTTATTCTTCTAGATATTTTTCTACTTCAATTAAAATTTGGGAATACTAATGTTGCTTGAACAAAGAATGAATTTTAAAATTTATAAGTGCGTTATAAAAGTAATAACACTATTATAGTGTTATTACTTTTGTAATGCAGTTAGTGACTAGAGTGTTATTACTTTTGTAATCGTAAGTTTATTGTTTTATTTTTTATTTTTTCGCTAATAAATTTAAGTTGATTCTCCCCTTAAAAACAGGAAACACAGTTTTGTATAAACTAAAATTTTGAATATTAGATATTTTTTCAGATTTGCGTTTTGCATTCGCTTAATTTAACCGTTGTTGTTACATTTAAATTATACAAATAAATTTTACAAACACATTGCAATTTGTATTTTAGCCATCCTCTTATAAAAAAATTAAGAAAAGAAAAATCATTCTTTTTATTGTAGACTTCAAACTGGTTATTTTTTGCTTCGGGTTATCTAATTTTGTTGCTAAATGTAACTCTAAAGAAACAAAAATAAAAACAGTACACAAATTATTTAAATTATTAATATCTTTTTATTTTTTTCTATTTCAATCTCTTTATTTTGTTAGTTTTGTTTTTTTGTTTTTGAAACTTTTTCAGCATTATTATAAAACTTACAAATGGCCGTGTTCACGTTTTCTAAAATATCATAATCGCATGTATATATATATATATATATATATATATATATATATATATATATATATATATATATATATATATATATATATATATATATATATATATATATATATATATATATATATATATATAGTAATAATTTTCAAATAAATAACAATTTTTTTTAAACTTTTTGACATATTTCATCAATATCAATTGACATCATCAGGTATAAAAAATTAGTTACAATTTTTATATTTTTCTATACAGTAATTTTAACTAATTTTTTAAACCTGCTGATGTCAATTGATATTGATGAAACATGTTGTCAAAATGCTTTTAAAAGATTGTTATTTATTTGAAAATTATATATATATATATATATATATATATATATATATATATATATATATATATATATATATATATATATATATATATATATATATATATATATCAGCCTTATGGTGTTGTTATTTACATTTATTAGAATAAAAATAGTCATATTTGTTCATTCAACATGTGGCATTTGTTTAATTAATTTAAAAAATGGTTAAACATTTGTCAATGTTTACCACATTTCAAATTTTTCCTTGTGGTACCAAGTGTTAACTAAGTTATCAAGTATAACCAAAGTGTTATCAGTATTTATATTAAAACTGTTTCTATTACTTACTATTTACATTGCTGGCAAAAGGTTTCTGGAAAAAATACTATTTTGCATTAATATACCAAATATATATATATATATATATATATATATATATATATATATATATATATATATATATATATATATATATATATATATATATATATATATTATTATTATTATTATTATTATTAACTTTGTATACCACTTAAGAAATAATCTAAACTAGCAATCCGGACCTGTAAAATACGGGTCTTTGTAAATCTATTCCACACCAACCTTTCCTATGCATATTCCTTACTTCCTATACATATTCCTTACTTCAATATTTTTTAGTTGGCGGCAGAAAAATAACTATATCAATATACAAAAACTATACTCATTTACTTTTAAAGCTTTTAACCAAAAAAAGTTTTATCAACTTTAAAATTTTTTTACACGTTTCGGTAGCCATTATGCGAATCGCTATTTATCAAATAATTAAATATCAGTAGCTGTCTAAATAACATTTAGAATACCTGGTTAAATGTCTTTATTAAAAACCCTCGGTTTAAAAAATTTAAAAAAACATGAGATGACTTAAATATGTGGAATAGCAAACTTACCATGACCCGTATTCTGGTCATTCTAAGTCTATTCCACTTCAACCATTTTAATAATTTTGCTTTATTTCAATAATATTTAAAAAAGAGTAAAATATGAAATACTTTGTTTTGAGTTAACGATTTATGTTTAATACTTTATAACTTCTTCAAAAACAAAGAACAAAAAAAAATTGGGAAGGGGCTTGATTATTTTTTTCTTTAATAAGTTTCTATTAATTTTTTTCAGACCATCTGCAGTTTATAAGGTCTCTTGCTTCGTTAACTTTGAAAAAAGTTAAAGTTGGCATAAAAAATATGCGAACTTTAATGTCATATTTTATATGCCATATTTAATGGCATATAAACGCGCAAGCTAATTACTTATGCACATTAACAACGTAAGTTGTTTATCATTAACAATAATTACTTAGTTAAAAGCACATGAACTTTATGTGCTTATAATTATCTCTATCATGACATATGTTCAAAAATTTAAATTTTTGAACATATGTCATGATAGAGATAATTATAAAATTTATTAAACTTTATAAAACATTTATAGCATATAAATGTTGTAAATCAAAATTAAAAAGATATTGCTGAAATGAAATTTTCAAGTAAAAGTAAATCTGTAAATTTTGATATAATTTAAATAACCTGAAGTTGACAGGTTATTTGCATAGGCTTTTGTTTACATAGATAAAATACAAAAGATAAAATACAAATCATTTCGGATAGTTGTTTTAAATAAAATGCCTAATAGCTTTGTAAAAAAAAAAAAAAAAAATTTATTTACATATTTATTAACAAATTAACAAAACATAAAAATTTTCAATAGTTTTCAATTGTATGACTATATTGAACAAACACGTCATCTAATTAATCTAAAAAAATTAATCGAATTAAATAAAGGGAAAAATGCATCACATTTATTAACTGCAAATCAATTTATTTATGCATAATAACATAACAAAGTATTTGAAAAAAAGTTTTATTTACAAAAAGTATACTAACTACGTCTGCACAGAGGCGATTTTACAGGGGGTAGGTGTTATACCCTCCCCTCCTAAGCAGGTGATTTTCAAGTTATAGTTGGGTTTCTTATGGATTTAGTTGGCAGCTTTGATTATATCTACAATTATTAACATTCATAAATTATATCTACAATGTCTTGTGCCTTATCCGTTGAAAGCGTCTGAGTCCTTCCAATATTATACAGAGTATAATATTATTTTGATAGTTATCTAAATTCTGTCAATGTTGCGCACATGTTTTAGAATGATTAACGGGGGTGTGGTAAAATAGCTGTAAAACTTTAAATTTCCTTATTACCTTGATATTATGTATTTTAACTTATTACTTTATTTAATTAAAAATTATAATGTCAATAAAATGGTTTATTTCAAATATAAATATGAAATTTTAAATTATGTTTTTAATAAAAACATATTTTTCAAACTCTCTAATGAATTATGATTGCCACATGGCAAGTTTAAATCATATGTTTGCCTTTTTTTTAATATTTGTTATTTAAATTGTAAAACAAATTCTTTCAAACCAAACTTTTTTCTTCAATAGCGTTTTACTTTGTATTTTAAAAAAATAAAAAAAGATTAAGTTAAAAAAAAAAATGGCGAACGTAGAAATCGAACCTGGACCTCCAGCTTCAGAGCGTTGCGTACTAACCACTTGGCTACACAGAATTATTTACTGATAAAGATTTAAAAAGTATATAAAATATTAAAGACTTTATCAAATGGAATTAAGTGCTACAGATCACATCTTATGGC